GAGGAAAGGGTCCGCCTTTGTGCGACTCGACGGCGGAACACTTCGACTTCTGCACAAAGAGAGTGAGATCAACAAAGAGATCGCGAGTCATTACGAGACCTCCTTTCCCTCCTCGCAATCCTTTCCCTTCCGTGACTCCCGACAGCATTGATCATCCATTTTTGCCAGGATCTGCCGTGTAAGAAAAGCGGCTTTCCTCACCCGGCCCTTTTCTCCATTGTCTGCTCTAGAACGGAACGGCGGTTGGTCCTTCCGTTTATGAATTTTCAAGAACACCTTACCAGGAGATGCATCACCGCGATAAAGAATTATCCGGCCGGATGACTCGTCGGTTAACCACCGTTCTCCGATATCGTTCGGCCGAACAACACGTTGAAAAACCACACTCGAATATCCAATGCAATCTTTTGCACCATTCTGTAATGGAATCCCACGGGCTGTTGGAGAGATGGCTTTCACATCGCAGTGTTCGACGAAAAAATGACTCGTTACGTAATCTTGGCGAATGCGAATGAAGTTAACACGAGGATTTGTTATCGTTGACGATCTCATAGAAATAAAATTACGCATTCCGGCTGCGATATAATCTCTCGAGAGAAATGAATGTAATTATAAGATTGGTGGTTAAATTTATATTGATATTTTCTGCACATTTCATTTTTGTATTCTCCACGTTTGACAAGCACGATTTAACAAAAACGTTGAGATTAAAGTGTCAACTTAAACCTCACATAGTGCACATATTTTAAGTACATTAATTTGGTATAATGTCATGGCTCTTGTTTTCGCTTATATACATTATATAAAAGTGCTAATAAGAAAAATCCTATGTAAAATTATAAATATATTTCCAAGTCTGTAGAATAGAATATATATAAAAATATTCGCAAATACTTACGTACTTTATTTTATTGCTAGTATAAAGAAAAATGCCATGAAGATGTGTATTTATATAATAATTCCTAACTTCTTTAAAAATAAATTTGAGAAATTAACATTCTAGTATTCATTTGTCAATATTTAAATATTTAAGAAACAATATATTACGTGTTTTAATTTTACGTATTTTGTCATAAGATATTAGTTATTTGAGTATACAAAAATATGTCATTTTTTCAATTAAGTAACGACAAGCGACAAATAAAATCGTTAATAATATTTAAGTTTATGTAGTATTAATCTATTATATATACAAAATGCGGAATTTTTATTAAAATTATTATAAAGATTAGTTATACCTGAATCGTTTTTTGTTTGTGAATATAGTTTGATGGTATAGAAACGTTGATCGCTTATAATATAGATAAAAATAACTAATATACATAAAATAATATCGATTATTATTTTTGTTATGTATCATATTTATTTTTTTTATGTATTATATTTATTGTGAAGAATTAAAAAATTGGTTTTTTACAATCAGTTCTTATAAAAATCGGTTTTAATGTAATCAGAAATATAAAATAAAATCATTTTTATTTTACATTTCTACTTTACATTTTAACATTTCTCTAAAAAATGATTCCATTGTAACATTATCTTTTTATTAAATATTGAGCAATTGAAAAACTTCGACTGTGATTAAATTTCATATTCTCCCTAATTACAACTTTTATTATTGCGTGAACCAAGAGTCCTCATTCTATTAGTTTAATTGGATAATTTAAAATAAATAAATAAATCGGGTGGAGTCGAAAATGATTCCAATGTGCCAGATTAGCATACGAAGCCTTAAAAATAACAAATGTTCTAAAGTTCTGTCAATTATATAATTTTACAAAATATGAAAATATGAAACTTTATATGAAATATGAAGTTAATTATTCCAGTGTGAGCGTAATTTTTGTCGAGTAATTTTAAAATGTACCTACTTTGTACGAATTCTGAAGATATATTGTTGTCTTTTAATTGAGTAATGAGATCGCGTGTCTAGATCTTACAGCTCAATCTCACTTGCGACTAATAGTCGCAGATGAGATTGCACGCAGTGGTGAGAATAATCCGCTTTTCCACAAGTGCGTACACCATTATACCATTCAATAATCAGAAACCGCTACTTCCTGCGTGGCTACATCGATCATTCTTCATTGTTCGGAAAGATACCGACGGAGGAGCTTGTTCCTCTCTCATTGTGCTAAGCCGAGATTAATAAACGTTACATCGCTTTGGACAATCTAGACGCACATTACATATCTTGATGATCGATTCGCAAATGAAATTTCTGTTCAAGATTAATCGATATTATTTGAAAGTCCGTATTATTTTCCGTCATTTGTTAGTTATTACTTATACACAGAAAAATATATCCTGCATTCAAGTAAATATTACTTGTTTCAAATATCTTATAATTCATATTTTTTATATCCACAAATCTATCATAAACATCAAATTTATCTAAATCCTGAATCTTAGTAAATTTAAAGTATTGATTTAAACAGAAATTTTAAAGTTTACTACATAGTGTCGAAGAATCTGTTTATTCAATAAAGTTTCATAATATTTTTATAAAAAAATAAATTTTTCTTTTCAATATATGATAATGAGTTTTTCTAAAATGTGTAAAAAAATTATTCTTTGTTGAAAAACCATTACTTAAACGAAGGAAAATTAAACTAAGTAATCGTTTTTCTTAGCAATGAAACGATACTTTTCTGTGTATTACCTTAATTTACTAAAGCAATTTTTATTGTTCTGTTCGATGTTTATAAAAAATGTTGCTGTATATAATTAACTATTAATTACACATAAAATATTAGACGTTCCATATTACGTTGTAATAACAATATATAGATAAGAAATTTCATATCACTCGACCTGCTCTTTATACTCGTAATCTAGCTTAGTTACTATATACAGTTGGAACGGAATTAACTTGTTCAATTAGCAATTTAATGAACTGTATAATCGGGCACGATAATTAGCGCCGTTTTACGGTGGTGGAAAAACTGAGCGCGATTTACGCGGCGAGATCACGAGTGCCGATAGTGCTACTACGTCGAGTACTTAACGCACCTTCCTACAAGCCAGGTGTAAATGCAATCGTAATCTACCGCGATTGTACAGACGACGTGTGTGGAAGGACGATAATGATTAAGCACGTGAAGCTTGTTTCGTGAAGTTTGATCTCTTCGACGATATATCACGTTCCCAAGAGATAGCAATTTAATAACCGACTCTTTTCTTCCTATTAATCTCGTTCTAACGACGGGTCCAAGTACGTCGTATCTCTTTTCATAGAAAGACTAGCTTCTCGCTGTCATTTTAATGAATGCAAAATAAAACGTTCTAAACGAAGTAATGTATTCTCACCTATTAATTGTAGGTTCGCTTAAAATTATCGATCTCTACTATATGAAATTTCTACAAATAAAAATGTACAATATAAAAAAATGAAATTATTAGATTGTTCGTTTGACTATACACTTAGAAAAAAATAATTTTCTTCTTTTAAAGATATGTTTATTCTTGATATATAAATTTTAAAATAAGATTACATAGCGTTATAAAAATAAGTTATTTGCATCAATACATTTTATATGTGTGATTCAACAAAGGAAAATATGTTCTCATTATTCAACAATAATTTTCTTGAATGAATAGCACAAAATATTGGATTGAGAACATGGTTTTGAATGTTGAAAAAAAATATCGTTATCATCAAAATAATCTTATTGTATTTCTTATCAGACTATTACAATATTCAAATAAAATGTAATATTGACGAAATTCAAGATTTTAAGATTCTTCTAGCAAATTTATATATCGTTGCTTATATATAATGAAGTAAATTTGAATGTATTAGTATCAAATAAATACTAATTTTTTTTCTGATAATCTGACAATCTGAGTATCTCTGTATCTGAGTATAAAGTTAACAGAAATTATACTTCCTTCTTAAATTAATTTTCACTATTAATTTTCCCTATTTAATTTTCCACTTCAAATTAGTAATTAATAATATCGTGCGCAAAGTATATTTGTATAAAAGTGACTTCAAGAGATATGTATGAAAGCGATTAGTTTCCCGAACATCGCAGATAGAATGCACTATCATTTATGTAGCACATCAGTCACTCTCTGGAATGAGACCCAGTCACACGATCCAAAGAGGCAAGGAAGCAATTTGTCGGATATATTCACTTTTACTCGAATTGGCATTCTTTACAACGTGGTCCACGGCCGACACGGATTATCACACACGCTTTAATCAAGGAGCGAAGAGTAGCTCGATGTGTAGGGGATGCAGTGGGTAGGGGTAAAGGCTATATAAGAGAACGCACGTCTGCTTCGGTTTTATAGTAGAGCTAGGTCCTTTGTGTCGTGTCTGTATTTTTTGGTATATTTGCAATATGGTAAGTATGCCGCTTCGGTCGTTTCCACTTTAATACTTCTTCGGGATAAAGGCACAGATTATACAACCGCAGAGCGGAGAAATGTATAATTTTACAAACGAGAAAGACATTCTATAACCTGATTATTGACGAAAACAGCCGCAAAATGGACTCTCTTTTATAGAAATACATATTCATGAAGTAGAACTGCGCGATAAGAAGAAAGTTATTTCTATCACCAATATGACATATCCTATTAAGAGAGGAAAGTTTCAAATACAAAAAGATTATTACAAATAATAAGAAAGTTACATATATAAATAAATACAACATAATATATATATATATATATATATATATATATATATATATATATATATATA